TCGTACATCATCCCACACCGATGACACAGCCCTGCTTCACATAGGTCTCTCACTGTAGCACAGGCTTTGATGACAAAGTTAGCTTGCCGTCTGAGTGATGCATCAAGCAATGACACCTTCCATGCAGGGTGGACTTCAAGCTGGCGATGTATCCGCTGGAACTTGTGAAGATCAGAGTCATCTGCCAACCGACTGTTCCATTGTGCTACATGATACTCTCTGACTGAAGTCTTCACTATTCTCCTCCACTTCGAACGCCCTAGGAAGGACCCTGATTCTAGGAATTTTTCCAAGTGACAATAGAGTAGGTACTTCTTAAGCACCCTGACTACATCAGGCACATATCCAAACGATGACGATGAGACGTTGTGCAAGTAGCCCATCAACCGGGATATGAACAGCTTGTGAGGTAGATATCTGTGGTCCATATTCAAGAGACCACCCAGGAAACACAACTTCCGCTGGTCTATAACTGCCTCTAGAGGCAACACTCCAAGGAGTCCAAGACAACTATCAGTTCGAGTGGTACGAGGCAAGTCTTGGATTGATTTAATGACGTGTCTGTATGATCTCTCCAGAATTAAGATCTCAACTTTGGAAAGGTTAGTCCACAGTTCCGACCCGTACAGGGCTTTGGGAAGAAACACACGGTTAACAACTGTCAGGCTGATGATTGGGTTTGTAAACCGTGGGTGAAACCCACAAGCTGTCAGTGATCTCACACCGGACCGCAAGGAAATGGCAGCTAGCGTCACATGCTCTATGCTTGACATGTTTCCTGACAAGACTATCCCAACATGGCGGATTGATTCCTTCCACGGGAGAGGTTGGTCATACAACCTGACTTCAACCTGCTCTAGCTGCTGAGATCTCGGCCGGTATGGAAAAGTGACAATTTCACTCTTGGAGGAGGACAGTACGTATCTCCAGTCGTTGCTGTATTCCTCCGAAATCCTCACCATCGATCTAAGGGCAGAGAGCCTTGATGAAATGAGTGCTACATCATCTGCTTGAGTGGGAGAACACACGCTTAAGTCCATCACGACAGCGCCGAGATTCGACTCAGAGAGTTTCTGGAGTAGGGAGTTTATGTACAGCAGGTACAACTTCCTGACAGCACACCACCTTGTCTGATACCCTGCATCATGGGGATAGGCCTAGAGCACATTGAGTCAAGGAAAACTCGACACATCATTCCCGTGTACATGTCGTCAAGAACAGTCCACAAGGAGCCTTTAACTCCACACTCGAATAACTTGTATTTGAGACCACTGTGCCATACTGTATCAAAGGCCTTTGATGTATCCAGGAACACAACATGGGTATCCTCCTTCCGCTCGTGGTAATGGCGTATCGTCTCTTGCAAGTTGAAGGATGTGTGAAGGGCAGATAACTGAGATTGGTATGCCATTTGTTGTGGGTGGGGGAAGGTATCAGATTGATTTAGTCCGTCCAGTCGAGACAGGAGCACCATCTCAAACACTTTTGACAACACAGGGGAGAGTGATATGCCACGGTAAGAGTTCGGGTCTTTCTTTGATTTATTCCCACCTTTGTACAGAGGCACCAGGATGCTCTCGCGCCAAGCTGTCGGGATATGTCCGGATTCAAGAATGATGTTGTAGAGGGTTGCCAAGTGAAACATCAAGGTTCTGCCACCATACTTTAGGTGCTCGTACACGATCTTGTCAGCACCACCAGCTTTATTGTTCTTCAGCTTGGCACAGCACTCAGCGACTTCCAACTCTGTGAATTTCATTGGCTGTGGATCACGTTCTTCCTTGCATTTAACACGGATCTCCTCAACTAGGGATTCTATCTGCTCACAGAAGGAAGAGTTGAAATTGTCTCGGTCTTTGGCAGCATATACATCCTGAAAATGGTTAGCCCAAGCATCAAATATAGCCTCTGGATCACTGTGCACAGCTCCTTGATACAATATCGGGGAAAGTGTTGACTTGTGTCCCCCTCTTATTGACCGCACACAATTCCAGAAGGTCCGGATATCAAGGTCATGGGATTGTTCGAGTTCTTGAAAAGTCTGTGAGATATGGTTATCACTTGCTTGCCTCATGTGCTTCCTGAAGTCAGATTTTGCTGCCTTGTATTCTCTGTAGGACGTGTGTGCAGGCCCACGAGGTTTGCCATCAGCAAGCCAAACACGACGCTTAGCAGTCATGTGATTATGATAATCATTCACAACTTTGTTCCAGTATGGTTTCAGGAATGACCTGAATGATTTCATTGGTAGTGTCTCCCTGCTGGCATGCAAAATAGTACATGTTATTGCTGAATAATATTCATCAATATCAGTCAATTCACAATCCTCTGTGGGAGGTTTAATACTCCACAGCAGATGGGAAACAGCAAAGGTATAATCCTTCAACATGTCCTGACTTCTAGCTTTTTCCCATGAGACAATCCCTCGTCCCTCTCGCGTGAGTGTTGGTAGAGGTGATGGCAGGGACAAGGTGCAGATGACCGGGTTGTGGTCAGACACATTGAAAGGCATCGTCTAAGATACGGGCACATAAAACATCACTCAGGGTCGTCTCAGGCAACAAGATATGGTCAATCATAGTGCGTGGTCCATGCTGATAAGAGCAGAAGGTCCAAGTTGGACCTGAACAGAGATCCAGAGTGTTCACTGAAGTAAGGCCTGACCTTTGAATTGTCTCGTTCATTCTTCTTGATCGGACATCTTCTGTGAATCTGTAATGAGCACATTTGACTTTTGTATTTAGATCCCCCATGATAATTACTTCACCAAGTTCTGAGTAGGCAGCATATATGTCATCGACAATGTCAAGGCAAGTAAAGAACAACTCATTTGGTCTAGTCACAGCCGGTAGGTACACATTAAATATGTACAAAGGTCTGCATCCAGGAACGTGAATCTCAACACCAACTAAGAAGTCATAGTCGCTAGGTACCTCTTGACAATAGCAGTGGAATCGCTTAGATATAAGCAAAGCGACACCACCTCTAGATGCAAAGAACCCATCAGGCAGTAGTTGACCATCTCCAAAACATCTAGCAATCACTGAATATGGATCGGCAATTTGTGTTAGTAATTGGAGGTTATGATTACCGAGCTGATGTTCACTCAGTCCACAAATGTCCACTTCACACTGTGAGAGGCATGATTTGAGATATGGCACGCTGGTTGAGACACCTCGACAGTTCCAGCACATGAGAGTAATCCTATCAACTTCCATCATTATGCAGTCTTGTTGTTGTACATCTGTGACCTCGGTATCCATTTACGGACAACGATACCATCAGGCCAAAAGGTAGGATCTTCAACAAGTTTCTTCTGAGTGAAAGGGACATTTACCTGTGCTGAAGTTGTGTGTCTGTATTTATTGTTCAGAAATCTCACTAACGACGCCTTGACATCACGCTTCATTAAATAGTCTCTAATGTCAGACTCCTTCGTATCCATGTGGATCCGCCCAATGAAGAAGCGGGCGACTCGTTGCCTTGGAAGTGCTGCTCTGAAGTTACCATCTGGTGAGTTAGTGGTTTGACCGTTGACCGTGCGGCTCCAGTCACGGTCCACGTCAACCGTTATCTTTAAATCAGAACACAGGTCATTGACGTTCTTCTGTCCATTACAGGATCCGGAAAACTGTATCTCAGTGTCTAGTCCAAGAATTTTCTCACCATTATCATGGCATGGAATCGGTAAACCAAGGGATTCACTCAGTTCTCTGATATACGACTGACTACTGACACACCCGGTGTTGCAGTTGTTTTTATGGACCGGTGCTATAGTTGACTGACTGTTGCTAACTGTTCCTGTCAGGTCACTCACAGCGTCACCGCCCATGTGTACCTCAGCTTCTACATTGTCACATACTATACGATTACCGTTAGCCCCTGCAGCGCTCTCAGCCTGTGTGGGGTGCGTGCGAGTACAACTGCCCGGGTTGTCCACTGACGCTCTAACGTTAGCCTGTCTCGATACAACACTATGACAGTCAGAGATACCGTTATCACGTGTTTCGCCGCCGCCCCGAGTGTCAGCATTGTCACTAAGATTGCCATGCTCCAACGACGATTGATTTACATCATTATGTGTGTGACTAGCTTCAGTATCGAGGGGTATACAAGCCGTCATATCAGACAGCCTATTGTTCTGCTTCAGATCACAGAGTTCACTACGCAGTGTGTCAATCACCTTAGCTTGTGAGTTAATCTGTTCTCGCAGTTCCCGAATTTGCTTTGTAAATATGTCGACATCTTGAGCATATTCTTTTCTCAATAAAACCATGTCTCTGTCAAATCTAGCAACATGAGTCTTCAGATTAGCAACTTGCAACATGACCGCATCAACACCTGCATTTACCGCTCCCTGTTCGCATCTCTTGTCCTTGGCCGTACACACTATGTCATTTAGTTCATTAGCAAATTCACCATGGCATGCTCTGAATAAATAGTAGCAGTCTTTTGCAAGTTTGAATTGCAGAGATTCACCTGATTTGCCTCGCTTCTCCAAGCGTCTCTTTAGAACACTTTTCAAATAAGGAAAACCTTCCTGTTTCTTGGCCCCTTTCAAAAGTATTAATCTTGTTGATTCTAATTCACTGATATCACCATTTAATATATCAAGAGTTGTTGATATAAACGTATCCTTGGGACAGTCCGGTGACTCACGTGTACAGAATAGCGATATGAAGTCCACAGACTCGTCGCGTAACGTACAGTTCAACTCACCAGTAGTATCGCCATGTTGACTGTCGTTGTATTCGCCGCCTTGCCGGGTATCAGACATATCATTTCCATCGTCCACACGCAAGGCAAATGAACTTAGGTCACAATATTTTAATCTCTGTCCGAATATATTGTTCGGTACAATGTGTGGAACCTATTTCTGCTATCCCACGCCGACATTTTGCTGGAATGTTCCAAAAATAGGCGTAAAACCATACTCCCTCACTCACTCATTGATCTCTGATGAGTGCAATATGACCTGAATGATATCATTTATCTATACCATGGCCAGGACAGCGGACAAGGTGGCGGACCTGAGAGACGAGGTGTCTGACAGGATGGAGGATGTAGAAGAGATTGGCAACATCCTGGCACATCCTCTTGGCGGCGAGGAATTTGATGACGTTTGTTTAGCTGTTAGGCCATGTTTGTAGCAGCGAGTTGTCTGATCAAACTTATTATTGGCAAGTTTGATTTCTGTTTAATGAGGTACTCGCATTTTTCCATATTTTTTTGCTACGGTTCGAATCTGGACCAGGCAATCCTGCCAACTCTTCTGTCATGTTACCCACTAACACACAAACCCATTCGCACCACTCTCAACCTACACAATCCGTACTGGTTCTACGTACCACTAATACATCGTTCGTCCACTTTTCTCACTTACTCCACACCCACACACTATTACAGCTACTCTGGGGGGTTTTCAGGATGATCTTCTGGCGGAGCTAGAGGAAATGGACCAGGATGATCTCATACACAAACTGAGCGACATCCAATTGCCCTCTGTGCCAACCGAGGAGCTCAAGAGAAAAGGTGAGATCTCCTTGTACGGAAGAATCAGGTCGAACTGACATTCTCTACAAAAGGGTCAAGGCCTTTACTCGATAATTTGAAATTAATTGTTCACTTTGCCAGGGAGTCGGATTTAATTCCGCTTTGATCAGTAATGTGTGCTCGATTTTGGAGCGAAGCCAGAAGTGATGACCAGAAAAGTGGTTGAACCCATAAGCACGTGTCGCGCTGACAAACCAAGACACTGAACCCGTACAGAGTGAGTGAGTGAGTTAATATTTGACGTCACATCGGCAATGTTTCAGCCACATAGATACAAGAACAAATTTGACGTCAATAAAGAATATGTGTACATTATGAAACCTGTTGTCAAAGGGCAGTAAAACAACTAGAATATCATGAAAAGTTAAAACTATTATGACTATTTGGACAATACATAGTATAAAAACAGGCTATAGATTGCCAGCTACTGAAGGTAGATCACCATACTAGGGTCCATGGGGACTTACGTTTGCTACCGGCATGGATTTACACCACCCCTTCAGCCATTGGCGGTTGTGCTTAGATTTAGCCACTAAAAATGCGGTAGATCAAAATTTACATCGAATGTTTCGTGACTTACGTAACCTGTGAAGATCCGGGGGAAGGCTATTATATCCGAATAGCGTATTTCGAAGCTCACTGGGTATTCTGTCGAGTATTTACAACCCGCTGTCTTATGGCTGGAAAATGGCGTTAAAACAAACAAGACATAATCCAAACGAATCGGGATTCGAACTCGTGATCACAGGTTTCTGGCGTCGCAAAGGGACGCAACTCTGCATAAATAATTGCAGGGCCTGAGAAGACTGAGCCCGTGCCCCATGTCTGTGAATGGATTCATGATGAAGAGGTATCTACTGCTCATAACGACTCCTTGCGTGCGCACACACGCACCAGCACAAGCGGAGACAAAGTGTGTGTTAATACCAGTCGGCGGGGTAGCCTAATGTTTAAAGCCCTCACTATCAACAGTCACTATTAACATGCCCACCCTCATTGTTTCCAGGCGACAAGAAGTCCGGGAAAGCGAAAGAGGAAGAGGAGGAAGGAAGAGAAATGAGGAAGTTGGCTGAATGGGTGTGACGTTCTGCTAGTATTTAATACTTGTATTTGTCAATTTGGAATCTATAGATTATATGTACAGATAATAACTTAAATACAAAAATAGATGTGACGTGTGGCCCAACTCCACCCTTTACGACCCAGTCGGTTTTATTCTCCCTTCCCTATACTGTACGTTATAGCGGGGCGGTGGGGTAGCCTAGTGGTTAAAGCGTTGGCTCGTCACGCCGAAGACCCGGGTTCGAATCCCCACATGGGTACCATCCGTGAAGCCCATTTCTGGTGTTCCCCGCCGTGATGTTGCTGGAATATTGCTAAAAGCGGCGTAAAACCAAACTCAGTCAGTCAGTCAGTCTACGTATAGCACATTCTCTTCCTTCGTCGGAAGGTATGACAAGTAACCTCTGTGGGCAGAGAATGCATATAGCACGGCACTAGACGAACTTTGTGACTTATATGATGAGGTGTGTGTTCAGGGAGACACTGGCATTGTTATATCCAGGATCGAGAGAAGAATTGCAGCATGTAATAAGGATTGGATCCGGTAGCACTGTCACTATCCTGCCACTACGTCATCCTAAACTCTTCACATGGAGAGAGGGGGGGGGAGGAGAGAGAAGAGAGAGGGAGAGAGAGGGGTAGAGAGAGAGAGAGAGAGAGAGAGAGAGAGGGAGAGAGAGAGGGGAGAGAGAGAGAGAAAGGGAAGAAGAGATTAGAGAGAAGAAGAAAGGAGAGAGAGAGAGGGAGAGAGAGGGGAGAGAGAGAGAGAAGAGAGAGAGAGAGAGGGAGAGAGAGGAGAGAGAGAAGAGAGGAGAGAGGAGAGAGAAGAGAGGAGAGAGAGGGAGAGAGAAGAGATAGAGAGAGAGGAGAGAGAGGGAGAGAGAGAAGAGAGGGAGAGAGAGGGAGAGAGAGAAGAGAGGGAGAGAGGTATTCTTTTCAACTCCCATCGATAATCTTGCAATTCATGTTGAAATATATGTCTTGACAGAGATGATGGAAGAGCATGACATACTAGCATTCTTTGTTGAAGCCAATACCAACGACATTGATGAAATAACATGGCATTCTACTATGAAAGAATTGTCAAAGAATATAATTTATTATAATAATTTAAACTAAAGGACATCCTCAATCACTAGTGGTAATAACCTTAATAACCTGTATATATTGTGGAAAATGTTCCCATATTATATGTATGTATATATGTATGTATATATATGTGTGTGTATGTCTGCGAGGTACGCATTAATAACATGTATATACATTGTAATTACAAAACCATATTGTTTTGATGATTTTCGGAACTATCTGGAGGAAATAAAGACATTCATCATCTTCATCAATGTGGTATTGATATAAAGCGTTTACATTGCCTCTTGCTTATGTCGCAGGGTTTTATAACACGACCTCTGGGCTGGTGTTCAATCGCTTTATTTTGCCATTTGCCATTTGGGGTTGGTCAAACACGACCGTGCCATAAATCTGTAATTAGGGAAATTACATGAAGGGCTGCCACTGCCAGCATGGTGTGTGTCCATATATCAATACAACAAGTAAAACTATTGTGACATTTTACATAATTATTATATATCTGAAAGTTAATGGTTACTAAACCATTAAATGTATTTAACTACAGGGTTCCACCTGGTTACTAAACCATTAAATGTAATTATTTAAATACAGGGTTACACCTGACTTAATTATGAGAAATTGTTCTAATATGAACAATTCAAACAAACTTGCGTACCTGTAATTAGGGAAATTACATGAAGGGATCCACATTACCCCTACTAGACCTGTAACATCGTCCACGTGACATCTGTAACACCATCTGTGTGACATCTGTAACACCATCTGTGTGACATCTGTAACACCCTCTGTGTGACATCTGTAACACCATCTGTGTGACACCTGTAACACCATCTGTGTGACATATGAAACACCATCTGTGTGACACCTGAAACATCATCTGTGTGACACCTATAACACAATAATGTGTGACACCCCTAACACCATCTGTGTGACACCTGTAACACCATCTGTGTGACACCTGTAACACCATCTGAGTGACACCTGTAACACATCTGTGTGACACCTGTAACACCATCTGTGTGCCACCTTAACACCATCTCTGTGACACCTGTAACACCATCTGCGTGACACCTGTAACACCATCTCTGTGACACCTATAACACCATAATGTGTGACACCTGTAACACCATAATGTGTGACACCTGTAACACCATCTGTGTGACACCTGTAACACCATCTATGAGTGACCCGTAAATCAGTTCACGTGATGTTTCTTGGTGAAATTTGTTGTAAACTAAAGTAGATCTATTTCATCAGTAACACACTTTCCTGCGCTCAGGTGTTTTGCCTTGTTCTTAGCTAAAAAACATACTACTACTATTATTTAAGTACGACACGCTTCCCTCTTTTACGTACAATTGACAACATTTTCCTTGCCAAAAAAATCATTTTCTACTTACCTCCCTTATTTTTCCCTCTGTTTTCCAATGCAGTTATCGTTTCAATATCAATTTTATTTTCAAAGTAATCAGTTTTGTTAGACAGAATTTCTTGCAGATTACGAAGGCGCTCTATCGCCTCCTCGATGGAAATGTCGTCCTTTCGCTTCCAAAACATCAAACTCTGTGCCATCTTGCCCGAGTGATGTGCCGTGTGCCTGTATATGATGTAAAAATAATTACCGCGTGCGTGCGTTATCAGAAATAAAACTCAGCCCTGAAGGAATTGTAGCATGAAAAGAATCTCTTAAATAACCTCTTAGCAAGAACATATAGATCCGGGTTAGATATGGTCTTCAGGGACGGAGATATGATTCTAAAACGTGGGCGAAAATATCGGGGTTCATATTTTACATACGATGCACTCGGGCAAAGTATCACTTCGTCATGCTGACGTGATGTTATGACGTCACGTTTCTTCTGTGACGTTGCAATCTACATGCGGCGACGGCGGGTAGCCAGCCTATGTTTGAAAGTATATTTTGGGATATTTTCCTTAATTTGACGACTACGGTAACACATAGAATAATATCATTCGTGCCCATATCATATTATGTTTACGACACTCGTGCCTAAATATCGGTTTATCCCTCGCTCTTGAACACTCTTGACGTAAACATAGTATGACATGGGCACTCATATAATATGCTCTATATCTCTATATATAACGATGGGGTTTACATTATGTATGCATCTATATTTCTACAGAAATAACATTTTCCGAATAGTATCCACCACACTATTTTTTAAGCCTTCCTCTGCTATTCGAAGGCATTTACTATTTAGGTCGATACACTTCATTGATACACTACATTTTTAGAAATAGGGAATGTGATGTTATCTATGCAGCTTACCTTGCTTATGAGAAACGTCTACTGAATCTGAGCAATACATCAACACTGACAGTTGAATATAAACATCTACGGTAAGTCCACTGGGTCAAAATGCTTGTATGAACCTTTGTTCACCAACATAGACCACAGGGGGTGTGTATCAGCAACCCAAGATTCACAGTCACGCGGTCGTGAATGACGTTACTATTTATAGAACTGGGCTATCCCCAAGTTGTCATGGCGGTGACATGACAATACGCACACTTTTGAGGCTTGCTCGGTTAGTTGGAACTATTCAGTATAGTAACTAGCAGGTAGATATTGAGAGATAAGATTGATCAGTTTAGTCAGACCTAAAACTGGTCAATTTTACTGAATACCTGCTTTGAAAATCGACATGTATTTCTAACACTGTGAAGTGTAAGGCCTTTATAATGTGTCTCAACAGTTTAGTGTTGGCGTCGCTCACTGTTAATAAAGACACAAGGCAAGATTTTCACCTGTGGGGTTTTTTTTGCAGACAAAAACAATCAATTAATTATAACATCTTGTGGCTTTCTGAAAACACTAATGGTGAGAAAACAGTTGAGTGTATACTGATTATTTTACGTCATTACAAGGCAGTACCTGTGGATTTTTGTTCAAACAAAAGGGTGGACTTTACACAGGTTTACAGAACAGCAACATATTCTGTTTATCTTTATATTATCTCTGTAATACACACTTACACACAGCACGTTTAATAGGGTTGGAGGGTCATGAGCCTGGGCCGTTTGGAAAGTTTGATTGAGGTCGTTGAACACAACTGAACTGAACAGTGGTATATGTTTACATCAATATTATGTAAAACGTATATATGTTAAGTACATGTATGATATACAAAATGGTTATATATACACATCAGTTGGTTGCAAGAATAAACTATGTGTGTAGATGCATTTAACCAGTTAAGTTTACAATGTAACACTTATACGTTATCTTTTTTAAAATTTAGACGTTATTGTATCGCAAAATTTGGCTAATTTCCTAATTGCTCCTATTTTATTGCAGTGAAACAATGACATATTAGTCAAGCAGTTAAAGATGATCCTAGTTACATTATATCTTATGGAGACTGTTTCCGTCTTACACTTGCAGAGGGTAATAACATTTAGACCTTAGATGAAAATCGGCGTCCAACAGTTGATTGTAGCATCCCTTGTTTTGGTTTTGTTTTAAACATATTTTATTCATGAGGCAAGGATTGGGTACAAATTATACAACATAGAACAGCCTCTTCGTAGTATTTACATAATATTTAAATTCATTACACAAGATGGGACAGGCAGGAACAGAAAGAAGGGAAATAGTGAAACAATTGCAATAATTAAGAAAATCATTTTGATTGACAAATATATGTTTGAACAATTTTAAATATATTTTGATTTATGCGAACAGTGGGATCTGCATTGCCATGTAATAGTAACTCATAGTTTATAATCATATTGGTAACACTGCGTAAATTTGTCATCCTGGCAGTTCTCTGTACAATATATAATTGACACTCAATTGAATATGTAGTGATAAGGATGTTCACAAACATTTCCACAAGAACAACTTGGGTTATCTTTTATACCAACACGGAATAGATCATAATTCAGTTGACTACACATGTAAC